GTTGCCGAGTCAGCTCTGACTCACACTCTATGTACAACAGAATAGAATGTTACCTGGTCCTGTGCCCAGGCTATTCCAAAAAAAAGGGGGGGGGGCAACCAAACTCACTGCCATTGAGTCCAATTCAACTCATAGCAACCCCTCCTTGGGTTTTCGAGGTGGCATCACTATAGAAGTAGATTGTCCAACCTTCCTTCCGAGGAGTAGCTGGTGAGTTTGAACCACCAGCCTTCTGATTAGCAGTCAAATGCCTTAGGCACTATGCTACCTGAGCTCCCAAGGCTATTCAGGGTTAGTTATTCAATGTCTCATCAATGTCAGAGCTCTGGGTCTCCCCCGCCCCCTCAAGTCTCTTGGTCTTCACCTCATGCTCACAGTGTTCACAGAATGGCTGCCACCGTTCCAGATATCATCTTTACAGAACCCCATTCAAAGGGGCAGGGCTTCTCTTGACCAAGTTTCTTTATCAAGAAGGAAAAACCTTTTCCAAAGCCTGTCAGTAAGCTTCCCTTACATCCCTTTGGCCAGAACTGGGGCAGATGTCCATCCCTATAGCAGTCATTGGCAAAAATGAATAGGATTGTCATGATGGGTTTAGAATAATCAAGATTCATCCTCTGAGGCTGGTTACATTGGTGTTGAACCCCAAATGAAACCGGGTTTAATTACCAAGGAAGAAGTCTGACACCTTAGCATAATGGTGCTGGCTGTGAAGGTAGACAGAAGATTTGAGCCCCAATTTCTCTATTTCATGGGTACAAATTGACTTAACTTCTCTGAACCTTAGCTTCCTCAATGGTAACATTGGGGATATTAGTACCTATCTTACTATCTTAGTTATCTAGTGTGGCTGTAACAGATATATCACAGATAGGTGACTTTTATACACAGAAGTGCATTTTCTCACAATTTAGGCAGCTAGAAGTACAAATTCAGGGCACCAGCTCTTCAAGAAAGGCTTTCTCTCTCTCTGGCTCTGAGGGAAAGTCCTTGTTTCTTTTCCTTGGTGATCTTGTGCCATAGCTTCTAACTTCTACTATCTTTGTTTGTTTGTTTAATTCTTTAATATCTCAAAAGAAATTGACTTAAGACACACCCTATACTAATACTCTCTCATTAACACAATAAAGAAAACTTGATTCCTAAATGGAATTATAACCACTATGTTGTTGTTAGGTGCTGTCTAGTTGGTTAGACTCATGGCAACCCTACGTCCAACAGAACAAAACAGTGCTCGGACCTGCACCATCTTCACAATTTTGCCATGTATGAGTTATTATTGCAGCCACTGTGTCAATCCATCTTGTTGAAAGTCTTCCTCTTTTTTGCTGACCCTCTACCAAGCATAATGTCCTTCTCCAGGGACTGGTCCCTCCTAATGGCATGTCCAAAGTAAACGCGACAATGTTTTTTCATTAATGCTTCTAAGGCGTATTCTGGCTGTACTTCTTCTGGATAGATTTGTTTGTTCTTCTGCCAGTCCATATATATATATTATATATAATATTAAAGTATTATATTAATAATATAATATAACATTATATTAATATTATCATATAATATTATAATAATAATATAATACTTTATATACTATACTATTTATAATTAATAATATAATACTTATTAACAAAGTTAATATTCTTTGCCAACACTATAATTCAAAGACATCAATTCTTCTTAAGTCTTCTTAATCACTATATAAAAACAAAACAAAACCCACTGCCATTGAGTAGATTCCCACTCACAGCGATCCTATAGGACAGAATAGAATTGCCCCACAGCATTTCCAAGGCTGTAAATCTTTACAGAAGCAGACTGCCTCATGTTTCTCCTGAGGAGTGGCTGGTGGGTTCAAACCACCAACCTTTTGGTTAGCAGCCAAATGCCTTAACCACTGAGCCACCAGAGCTCTGTCTCATCACTGTAGGGTTTACAATACATATTTTTGAGGGACACAATTCAATCCATAACAGTACCTATCCCACAGGTTTGTTGAGAGGATTAAATGAAATACTGCATATAAAGTGCTTGGCTCAGCACCTGGCATATAGTAAACATTTTCAAGAGGTAGTGATTAACTGTATATTGAATTGCATTATCTATTCAAATGTGAAATATTATAATAACCTTGACAATTAAAGCACATAATAGAGGGGTTCACATGAATCATAATTGTTCTTTCAGAGGAGTCAGAGTACAATCACACTTGAACACACACACTCCTTCATGTGTCAGACCTTCTATGAGTACTTGGTATAAGCTCTTCTCTTGGCTAAAGGCTGCAGAAATGAACTGGATCTGGCTTCTGCCCTTGAAGGGTTTACAGATCAGTCAGAAGTCAGAACGCCTTCAAGTCAATGTGTCAACATGGAGGTGTACTGCTCAACTCCCCCTCTGATGCAAAACTTGCCAGTCAGCTAGCTGAGCACAGTCACTGACAGCTTGCAGCTCTGGTGCCTCCAGTGTCTGGCTCAGCTTCAAGACAAGGCCACGATCTTTTGGGGCAGCCTACCAATGGCTGGGGAGGTCTGGTAGCACTGTGACTAAGGCATCTGACTGCTAACCGAAGGTTGGCAGTTCAAACCCACTACTGCTCTGCAGAAACAAGGCTGGACAATCTATTTCCGTAAAGATTTAGTGCCTCAGAAACCCAATGGGGGTCGCTATGAGTCAGAATCGACTCTATGGAAGTGGTTTTTTTTTTTTTTTTTTCCCCCAATGACTGAGCTTGGCCCCCTGTGGGACATCTCTATGAAATATTTCTGCACTAGAATACCCTGTTGGGCTGGCTGAGGTTTTCTCAGAGCTGTACCGTGGCTCTTCCTACCTATCAGGCTGCATCATGGGCTGAAGGCTCACTCCTGCTCCTGCTTCTCTTTTCCCCCTACAGGCATCACTCCCAATAACTCTCTCATGCTTCTAATGCCATCTTGGCATCTGCTTCCCAAACACCCAGTCAACACATCTCATACCAATTCTCATTTTGTTCCCTGACCAGGCTGAGGTCCAGGTAACTTCTGCCTGAATCCAAAAGCTTGCAATGGAATACTGGCCACACAAAGGACATTGGAGGCCAGGTAACATCAGCACCTGGAGATGGAGCTCTTGTCTCTTTCCTTCTGACCCCCTGTCCCTCTCTAACTCTGAGGGATCAAACCACAGGAGGCAAGGAGGGAAAGGAAGACAAGGAATAGGCCATGCTTTTTTCCACAAGCCTGGGTCAGGCCTGAGCTGAGCAGAGAGGAGAAGCTTTGAGCTGGATGTGAGGTTGAGGTTTTCAAGAGATGGGATTGGTCCCTTAAATCCAAACCAACCAAACCAAACTCGCTGTCATTGAGTCCATTCTGACTCATACCAACCCCCACTGGTTTTCTAGCACTATAAATCTTTATGGAAGCAGACTACCTCAACTTTCTTCTGCAGAATGACTAGTTGAACCACCGACCTTTTGGTGAGTAGCCAAACGCCTTAACCACTACACCACCAGAGAGCCTTTAAATCCAGACAATGCAACGCAATGCACGGCTATTGAGTCGGATCTGACTCATAGCAATTCCTCCTTGGGTTTCCGAGGCGGTATCACTACAGAAGTGGATTGCCCATCCTTCTGAGGAATGGCTGGTGGGTATGAACCACCAGCCTTCTGGTTAGCTGCTAAATGCTGTAGGCACTATGCCACCAGAGCTCCTTAAATCCAGACAGTGAGCTCTAATTTCCAAATGAGATTAATTAGTGCAATGACAGGAAATCTACGGGATCTGCTGGGGATTATGGTAAAGGGCCAAGAATGAGGGCCCAAAAGAGGTGTTTGGAGCAGAGGGGCTCAGGGTGAGTCAGCAGTGCTGGTGGATGGCTGGGCACACAGTCCCTCCTGGGCTGCCAGAGCAGGAGGCACCCCAAGGAGGGGGCGCTCCCGTGAGGCTGGGCCACCCCCATACAGCCTGTTCCAGAAAGTCGTCCAGCATGGACTCTGGAACCTACTTTCACTCTACCATCTGAGGAAGACCTTAAAACACAGTGTGTGGGCCTTACTGGGTCAAGGGATGTCCTTCTGAAGCAAACTCAGACAAAACCAGTTGCTGTCGAGTTGACCCTGACTCATGTTGACCCCATGTGTGTCAGAGTAGAACTGTGCTCCACAGGGTTTCCAGAGGCTGATTTTTCAGAAATAGATCACCAAGCCTTTCTTCCAAGGCATCCTTGGGTGGACTTAAACCTCCAATCTTTTGGTTAGCAGTGAAGCATGTTAAACATTTGCACCACCCAGGACTTCCCTTCCCAAGGCAGCCTAGTCTATCACTGGACATCATATTAGATCATTTTCCTAATTGACTCGCAGTCTGTCTCCTTATTTTTGCATGTGGAGCCACACAGAACAAGCCCATTCTCTTTGGATGTTGGAACACAGAGTGCAGGTCTTCCCATATTAATTTCTCCTCCAGAAGGACACAGCCCACCCTCTTTCCCTCTTCCACCACCTTGGGTAAAACAAGAATCAAGGAGTGGCTGTGAGTATGATCTCTCAGTCTTTAACATTTATTTGAGTGTTAGGATGTGAATGCCATCGCAATGACTGGCTGTGCCCTCCTGTCCACAGTGCCGGAGGGAGAAGCAGTGATGTCCCAGCTGCAGGCTGGGGATCAGGGAACAGCCTCACTGTCTTCTCCCATATCCAGTCAGAGAGCCTTGGGTCAGGGCAACTCCATCCTGAAGCATCAATGGGCATGAGGGAGAGCCAGGCTTGGAGCTCACGGAGCAGGCAGCCATGGGAGAAGCGGCCAGGAATGTGCAAAAGTGACTGAGTCGCATGCCAAGTGGACCGTCCCTGCAGGGAATATGGGAGGAGGTTAGTGTGGGCTGGGGACTGGAGGTCTATATCCAGGCAGCCTTGGGAGATGGAGTGGGCTTCCCAGGCTGGACAGTATGGGCATAGGACTCATTCCACAAGTGTGTGCCCCCCGCTCCATGTTACCCAAGTTTGTATGGGGGCTGCCGGCCCTTCACTCAGCCACATCGATGGACAGCATGGCCTTGATTGCAGGGAACTTGTTGCAGGAGAAGTCAGCAAGCAGCTGCTTGGTGCCACTCCGGGTAGGCAGGATCTCAAAACGGACCCGGGACCGCTCCTTGGGGCGTAAAGTTGGCACACTGCGGGGAAGGGCACAAGTCAGTGTTTGTGGTAGATACTCAGACCTCAGACAAGGAAGAGAGCCTGGCAATCTACTTCTGAAGATCAGCCACTGAAAATCCTATGGAGCACAACAGTCTGATTGGCAACCCGTCATGGGGATGGGGCAGGACTGGACAGCATTCACTGTAGATGGGTTCAACATGAGTTGGGGGCTGACGTGACAGCAGCCAACAACAATAACAACACAGACCTTGGGCTGGAAGGCCTTCTGGGACCTCAAGTCCTACCCCGATGAGGACTAGACAAGACTATTGCTCTTCCTCCTCTCAGCTGCCTGCCTGGGTCACTGTGCCCCTCTAGCCCTGTGACCTCTGAACAGGCGGAAGTGGGGCCCCATGATATGCCAAATATGCTAAGCCCTGAGGACCAGCTCCTAGCTCTGGTGACCAGGACTTCCATGAGTTCAAGTTTGATGAACCCCAAACTACAGGCAAATGCATGATGTGCATCTTCTGTTTTCCCCAGATGCTTGAGGTCCAAGGCCCTAGAAGGGCGAAGAACCTGAGACTAAGGCAACTCAATCTGCCCAGCCTGGGGGCTCACGGAGGCCCTTCCAGCCGCCTGCCATCCTCTCCTGATGACTTGAGCCTGGACTCACTCTATCTTGAGATTGCCCCTCAGCAGGCCGCTTCCCTCCACCATCAGCACACAGTTCTTCACGGGCTCATCCAGAGGATTGGAGAAGAGCATCTGCACGTTCACAGGCTTCTGCACCTGTGCCTGGTCCAGCACCTGTGGAAAAGAGGGGCTACAAGTCAGGACACTCCTGTTCACCCCCACCGGCCGCTCTGTGAGAGCTGCTGGAGCTGGCGCAAGGGAGCCCTGCTTCCAAGCCTTGCTATTGGCTACTGCGTGTTAGGGCATTTCTCAAACCAAACTCACTTACTTTCCTTGAGCCTCCAAGTCATTGGTCCTGCTTATTCCTAAAGACTCAAACCTCCCTCTCTGGGAAGCCCTGCAGATATTGAAAATGGTGACCACAGGCCCTTGAATCTGTTGAGACTCTGGCTTAGCAGCCTTGGCAACCTCCACTCTTCTGTCCAGGACATGGGATGGGGTCTTCCCTTGCAATAAGGCCACTCCCTCTTATCATACCCTGGTCTGTTGGCGTCCTTCTAACCTGGAGCCCTGAGGTGCCCAGTGTGCCCTGTGTGGTCTGAGCAGAGCACCACACTGCATGGACCTTGATTATAGGACACAGAAAGTGAAGCCTGATTTTTAGGTCATAAAAGCATCCTGGACTATTCACTCCAGAAGATGGGAGATGTGCTTCTGCCAAGGACTGGCCATGACTCTGGGCAGATATGTCATCTCTCTGGTAAATAGCGACAATCATCCCCACCTTGCCTTCCTCTCTGGGCTAGAAGGGACTTGGAGATCAAGGATGAGGAAGAGAGGGTTTTGGAAATAGAAATAGAAATTGTATGACTGATGTAGTTCTTTGGAGTATCAGGGGAGCCTGCTATTTTTGGTTAGTTTGGTTCTTGTTTTTCTTGCCACTAATCTTCACAGCAACCATTTCACAATGATATGCCTGCACTTCAGACTGATTTGATAACTCGGCCAAGTTCACACACTAATAAATGGCAAGGCCCAGCTGGCTGCAAAGGCTTTGTTCTTTTCACTGGGCCCTGCAATGCAGACCAATTATGTGTGAATAACTAAAACATTTTTGAGATGATGATTTATACTGTAATTGTTAACATGGAACTCACCTAAATGAATGACACCATCTGAAAGGTGAAGCTTAATTTTATGTTACTGGGCTGTAGCAAAGCTACATAAACTGTGCCAATTTTTTGTTGAGATTTCTATGAGGTTGTTTTTCTTTTTTTATTGATGTTTATCACCTTGTCCTATTGACGCAAATCTGTAAGCGCAGCTGAAGGAGCTAAGGGCTGCCTGAAAACTGTGTCTGAGCACCAGAGGTTCGTGGGTCAGTTTGAAGGAGACCACCCCATGGAACAACATTCAGATTTTTTGGTCTGATTCCATGTTCAATGTCTTCAGTGCTAATTGCCAGTCAGCATGATGAGATCACGTAACTTGACCAAAATCGTTATCTTTTCATGCAGCTCATCTTTGGAGTTTAGCAACAAGTCTGCTTTGTATTGATCAGCTCACTCAAGACAGGGATGCCTTGTTTCTTTGAAGGCTTAAAGAGGAGAGAACGGGTTTGGAAGACATTCACACAAAGATGCCTGAAAGAAAAAAGGTCAGGTGCCTTTTGAAAAGATTAAATGAGAAAATTCTTAATGGCACATGTCTAATCTGTGTGTATTCTGATTTTCTTTTTAAAGATATTATGGTATCTTTAAGGATCATTAGAATTGATCTGGGAATCCATATGATGCAGAACAAAAATGCTGAATTAAAAAAGATAAAGCTATAAGCAGGTTTGAGGGTAGTGAATAAAGCTATATAATGGGGAAAAAACCCGCCTAATTTCATTTAAACACTGGTCATTTGAATGCAGACAGTTTTAAGAATAGATACTGGCGATTATCCACATCACTTCCTAGCCTCAGGAATTAGAGTCGGCTCTCAGCCATCCATCTTGTCTACAGAGATGGGGTGTGCTTCTCAAATGCTTTGTGAAGTGGGAGAGGCTTTCATAAGCAGGGCAGGGATTAACCACGCGAACATCTCTCTCCTGGGCTGATTGTAAGTATAGAGACAGGTGGCTCTGTCACAGTCCTGCCCTGTGGAGGGGCTGTTTTTAATTTAATTTTTTAAATTTAATTTTATTTTTGCAGTGTTTCTCTCCCCTCCCATGAGGGGCTGTTTTTGTATTACAGTATTGACTAAGTACTTACCAAATATTAGGCATGGAGCTGGGAGTCAGTGATGGGCCCAGGGTATATATAATTGCCCCATGTATAATTGGGGACCTATTTTGGGGAGGAGGAAATTTGTCCCTGGTGAAATAACATTTGATATAAAGGATAAATAGGAGACTTTATCCAGGTGGGAGATGGGAAGATAGTTCCAGGCAAAGGGAACAGCATATGCAGACTCTCTGACAGCAACTTTAAGAAACTGAAAAGTGAGGTATGTGAGGTCCAGAGCAAAAGAGATGAGAGCTATTGAAAACCACGGATGAGAGCCACTGAGTACCATGGATAAGAGCCACTGAGAGCCGTGGATGAGAGCCCTGGAGAACCACGGGTGGGTTTTAAATATCAAGTAACAGGACCAGATTTGTTTTGTTTGTAAAGTCTCCTCTGGCCAATCTTTCCCCTTTCTGAGCTGAGGCTAGTGGGTAGGGAGGTGAGGAGATGGAACAACACTGCTCTCACAAGCCTGATTCACGTGTGGTTTCTAAATGGACCCTGAGAGGAAAGTTTTTTTTAGTACCTCCCAATGTAACTACTTTGACAATATCACATGTACAAGTTCTTCTCTAGATATAAACACTGCCACCAGCCACTGCTCGGAAGGAAGATGGGGCAATCTACTTCCATAGTGATACTGCCTTGGAAATCCAAGGAGGGGTCGCTATGACTCAGGTCCGACTCGATGGCACATAACAACAAGAACAACAATTAGTAAACTCCTATTCATCCTACAAAGCCTTCTCAGATGTCCCTCATCCACTAGATCTTTCCTGAATTGCTGTCTCTCCCAAATCTAAGAAAGAGACAAGCTCTCCCTTCTCCTGTCTATTATGGGCTTTCTTGCTGAAAGCAAAGAAGATTCAAACACTTACTGATGAAGATCAAAGACTACAGCTTTCAGTATGGATTACACCTCAACATAACAAAAATAAAAATCTACACAATTGGACCACTAAGCAACTTCATGATGAGTGGAAAAAACTTTGAAGTTGGCAAGAATTTAATTTTACTTGGATCCACCATCAACACCCATGGAATCAGCTGTCAAGAAATCAAATGACATATCACACTGGGAAAATCTGCTGCAAAAGACTTCTTTAAAGCATTCAAAAGCAAAAATACCACTTTGAGGACTTAAGTGCTCCCAACACAGCCGTGGAATTTTCAGTCTCCTCATATGCATGCAAAAGCTGGACAATGAATAAGAAGACTGAAGAAGAACTGATGCATTTGGATTATGATACAGGCAAAGAATATTGAATATGCCATGGACTTCCAGAAGAATGAACAAATCTGTCTTGAAAGAAGTATAGCCAGACTGCTCCTTAGAAGGGAGGATTGTGAGACTTTATCTCACATACTTTAGTCATGTTATCAGGAGGCACCAGTCCTTGGAGAAGGGTATCATGCTTGGTAAAGTAGAGGGTCGGCAAAAAGAGGAAGACCCTCAATGAGATGGACCGATGTAGTGGGTACAACAATGGGCTCAAACATAGCAATGATCATGAGGACAATGCAGAACCGAGCAGTGTTTCCTTCTGTTGCACATAGGGTTGCTACAAGTCAGAAGCGTCTCAACGGCACCTAACGATGACTACATTACTAAGCTCCTATTCATCCTACAAAGCCTTCTTCTGCTTGATCTTTCCTGAATTGTTATCTCTCCTGAACCCCAGAAAGGAATAAGCTCTCCTTTTCCTTGTCTACTATGGGCTACACATGCTTTCAGTGCGTTCCTTGTCACATTTTAGCAGAGAGAGGGTATCCCACAGCAAAGACCTCCAAAATATTTTGTTCAGTGAATTGTTGAGTGTAGCTTATAAAAAGCTGCACTGCCAAAAAGGCGGGAGGATACTACCAACTCCAAATGGATGTCGTAATTCCTCTAAGCAAAACCAAATCCACGGCCACCTAGCTGATTCTGGCTCATAGTGACCTTATAGGACAGAGTAGAACTGCCCCCATGGCATTTCCAAGGGTGTAAATCTTTACAGAAGCAGAATGCCTCATCTTTCTCTTGCAGAGTGGCTAGTGGGTTTGAACCACTGACCTTTTGTTTAGCAGCCGAATGCTTTTAGCCACAATGTCTACCCCTCTTAAGACTTCCATAATAATCTTGAGCATAATTGTCCTCCTCTTCAAAAGATCTGTTGCATTATCTGCTTAGTCCTGTGCCAGCATTTTATAGTCTGTCAGTTCAATCACCTTTTAGGGGAGGTTTTTATTATTCCTATGACAGAGTTGGAGTTACTGAGACTCAGAATTACAGGGACTTACCCAATGTCACTGCTGGTAAAAGGTGGGGCTGGGATCTGAAACAGCTCTATTTGGCTGCCTGGTCCCAGGTCTGAACTACTGTCCCTCTCTGCTTCCCCCTAAATAGCTATCCAGTCACTGGCTCCCTAGTTCTCAGGTGAAGCCGCCCACTATTCTGCAGCCCAGCCCAAACCAGTCAGGATGATGTGAGGACTCCATCACAGGCTGTGGGGGAGACATAGGACCCCCTGCTAGAGGAGGCACCCTGGGGTGGCATGTCTGGGGAGACTCCTTGGTTCCTGTGCTCTCTGTCTAAGGTCAGGAACCTCTGCAGGGAGGGTGCAGCTTAGAGAGAGGTGGGGCCAGGGAAGCCACAATTATCTGGCTCCTCTGAGATCATGGGCTTATGGAGCTGGCTGCAGTGTGATTGAACAGGAGAATGTGGTCTAGACAGTAGGGGCAGATGGCAGATACAGGAGACAGGGTGGAGCCTGGCCCATAAAGTTCTCTGTGAGAACCCGAAGGAAGACCCTGTCCTCCTGCCCGGCCACCTGCCTGTCCTGCTGAGCCCCTGGCCCCTCAGTGTTGTGCCACCTCACTCTGAGGTCTTCCACCTGTGCTGGGCCTGCAGACAAAAGCAAGCACTTAAAAAGCAGAGTAAGAGGGAGTCCTCACAGTCTCCCAGGGCCAGGATGCATTCTGAGGATGTTTTTGCTGGCTTCTAACATGCTAGGATGCCTTGGAAAGAGCACTGGACTGGGAGTCCCAGCCTGAGGTCTAGTGCTGGTTCTGGGTAACTGGCTTATCCCTTCTCTTCCTGGGGCCTCAGTTTATTCCTGTGTGATATGGCAGGGCAAGGGAGTGAGATGAGGCTCCTAAGTAAGTCTAGGATCTGTCACTCAGGGATCTAGAGAGTGAAGAGGTGCTTGTGAGTTATGCCCTTTCCTGATCTGTGACATAAGCATGTCCCAGGGGCTAGTCAGCTCCCAGCAGGCAGGACCCACATTGTGCCTCTCTGTGACTCCAGAGCCTGGCACAGGGCCTGGCACAGCAAGTACTTAGTTCCTGAGAGTGTGTGTGGGGGGATATGCTGGAGAGGGACTCTCCAGCCCCCATCAGGTGGTCTCCCTAGTGCATCTAGAAGAAGCTGCCAGTTCTTCTCTGTCCAGGGCAGAGAGGACCAACCCAGGAAGGAGCCCTTGGCTGGTCCAGTTGACACAGGCTGGACCTGAGTTGTACCTGGGTCTGCCTCTTCCTGGCTCTTCTTTTGTGGGGGTGGCTCACACAGGGCTGGCGGAGCTCATGGAAGGACTGGTGAGGTGGCACCCATTCACTGCCCCTGCCCCACCACTGGGACCTCACCTCCAGGGTCAGGGTGGGATTATCCAGGATGACGTCCCGCTCTACCACCACCTCGCCCTCGTTGGGGACCTTGCACACAGCTGTGGTGCGGATCATGTTGTCAGCTTTCAGGTACTTCTCGTACTGAGCATATGAGATCTTCACAGGGTACTGAATTTCTGGAAGGAGAAAAGAGGGAAGAGGCATGAGAGGGAGTGGACTGGTCCTGAAACCTACTGCAAAGGGTGATGGAAGCCAAGCAGTGGGAGCTAGCCAGAAGTCCCTGAAAGGCCAGACGTGGCTGAGCCCTCCTTGACCAGGCTCTACGGGAACAGCCCTCTGTTCTGTGTGGGCTCCAGGTCAGGTCAGGAGAGCCCAGCACTCTGTTTAGATGAGCAGATTCCCAGGAGGATGGGTTTGCAGGAACAGAAGCTCCAGCTGCTTCTTCCCCCTCATGGAAAATGTTGGAGGGCAGGGGAAGAACATGACGTTGACTGGTTGCCTAATGATAATAATAATAATGATGACAATAACAGTAATAACTATGAAGGGAAGCCAGGGTATTGATTAAATGCTTAGGAGCTATGTCATCTACAACGTCTGATTCTATTGCAACAAACCACCTCCCCACCTCTGGTTTCTCCTGTTTTCAAATGGTCAATGCACCAGTCAGACATGGCTTTGGAAGACTTTTTTTTTTAAATCACATCACTGCTCAAAAATCTTCCATGGCTCCTCATGCCTTTGGAATAAGGTTCAGACCCTGCACCTGGCCCTACCTCACCTGAGCCCAGCTTACCTCCCCCATAGGAAGAACCTCAGCCCTTATCAGCATTCTCTAGACAAACAGGCACATATTCACCTCCACATTTCCTGATAAGGCTCCCTTGGATGGAAATGCCCTCTCTAGCTTCTCTCTGTTTACCTGGACCATCCCCAATCTTCAAAGGCCCTTCTTAGGACCCTGCAGGCCTCAGGGGACCTCTCCTTCCTTGGACGGTCTTAAGTGCTCAGATCTGTATTGATAACACGTTGAATGTTAATGAGTTTTTCCGTGCGTCTTACTGTCTCCTCTCCCTCATGCCATCATACATCTGCTGGAAGCACCCACGGTGTCGTATGCTTTTTTAGTAAGATTGTGGGAGGAGGAAGCTTTCCTGCTTTTCTCATTAGGGGAATTTGTGAAGCTGCCCAAAATGTGGACAATAGGCCTTAGGTCATCTAGTGCCACACTCCCACACAGTGAACATAGCTCTGAAAGAGAAAAGGACTAAGCCAAGGTCATACCTCAAATACCCCAGAACTGCCTCATCTGCCTCCTCACCCCTCTATTCACTTTGCTGACTCTTTCATAGGTGTGTTTTCTTAACCATTCTCATCCCAGGGATTATTCCTGGCATACAAAAATAGCTCTTCCTTTGGGTTTTAGAGGTAAATAACAGCCAAGCAGTCATTTCTGGTATCGAGATTTCTGCTAAAATTCTGCCAGAGGACAGATTGCTGGGGGTTGCTGCCTCTGACAGGTGTAATACAGATAGAACTCTTTCAAGATGGGCTGTATAATTAAGTAGTTTTTATTAGTTCCTTATGTGAAGTAAATAACCACCCCACCCTTGTTAATCTGCTTTTAGGAAGCCGAACTTTTCATGAGAGCTTAAAGGATTTTGCCGATGTGGGCACACCTGCATTCTAATCCTTCCTCGGTGTTTTGTGCTCCACCTTGCTTCCATCCAATCTGTGCAACCCAGGGGCAAGAAGTCACTATTCATCCCAAATGCCAAACCTTCAGAAAAGCTCGTCACTGTTGTCAGGAGTCAAGGACCCCACCCACTCACTGGCAGATATGGGGGCAGGTGGGGCACAGGTTCAAGAGCCTGTGGGACAATGCAACACCCTTCCAAGATCAGACCTGAAAAGAGGTTTATTGCAGGGGGTGAGGTGGTGGGTGATCTGTGACAGAAGTGGTAGCAATGCAATATCAAAAAGAAGGGAGTGGTGGCATTGGCATTAGGAACCTGGGCCAAAGACCCCAGCATTGCTACTTATTACTACCTGTGACACTTAACCTCTTAAACAAGTCACTTCATCTCTCTAAGCCTTGGGTTTTGCCTGTGTAAAATGAGGGTGGTGCAAATAATTTGCTATCGGCTGTTAACCTTAAGGTTAGTGGTTCAGACCCACCCAGCAGCTCCATGGAAGAGAGGCCTGGTGGACTGCTTCTGTAAAGAAAACCTAATGGGGTAGTTCTACTCTGTAACCCATGGGGTCACCATGAGTAGGAATCAACTTGACAGCAATGGATGGGTAAGATGGGGACACTGAAATTTGCCTTTTTTAGGAAGTCAAATGAGATAGCATACATGAAAATATACCACAAACTGTGTGAAAAAGTGGTGTACATCTATAAAGTTTACTGCTTCTGTGGCCATTAACCACCAAAGCACCCCTCTTCCCTTCCCCAGGGTGTAAAAGGATTTTGGTTGGCACCACCCTGAGTTGCACTATTCATAGTTACAGCACCTTCCAAAACATCAAAACCCAAGGTTTAACCACAGAGGTCAATGCTGACTCATCTGGAGCCCAGTAGGAATGCTCCAGCCCAAGAAAATAACAAATATTCTTGGATTGTTGGGGATGCAGGGTCCCCAACAAACCACAGGCTGAGTTACCTTCTTCAGGGTCCAGGGATATGGTGGCAGAGTCCTTCCACACCTCATGCACTAGTGTGCCATTGTAGACAATGGTCCAGGCTGTCATGTTCACCGTCACTGTCTTCATATCACTTGTCAGGTTTTTCAGTGTCAGGGCCAGGTTGACTTCCTGGCCTACTGCCAGAACACCAGTTACCCTGAACTTCCCAAAGATGCTAGGCTCCCGCTCCCCTATTTCCAAGTCCTCTGCAGATGTTGGGTTGAATAATCGGTTGGGTTTAAGTTTCCCCAAAGCCTTTTCCAACACTTGTCTTTCCTGGGCAGAACCTGTGTGGAGGGAAAGGAGATCATCTCAGAGATGTGGTAGCACTCAGATAGAGGACAGAACCCCTCCCAGAAAGCTGGGCAAGACTGGCTCTACTGTTGCACCGATGACACCACACCAAGCCAGTGGCTGATCTCTTGAGGACACATTCTGTCCTCTTTAACCAGCTGGTCTGGATGTCTTCTGATCAACACTAAATTTCCAAGAAGCTGGAGGGAAAGCTGGTCAGGACCTGCATAAAATTACTATGTGGTCTAATAATTTGCTTAATATGTTAACTAGGTGTAATTTCTATGGCAAAAGGCCATTTATAAGACTTAAAGAATAAACTTAATTTAAAAACAAAATTAGAGCTGAAAAAATTTAGAATGAGTTCATGGGCTAAAAACAAGGTCACAGTTTTAGAATTGACTTTTAAAAAACCTTTAAAACCACTTGACAGGGGTATTCTGACTTGTTCCTCAAACTACTGTGATAGTTATGAGTGGCTCTGTTGTCTGTGTCAGTAGATCAGAACTTCTCAGGGTTGGTATGGTTCCCAAGTTATAATGAATGCAAATTATTGAGGAATTTCAGGTTTCATACAAGGGCTGAATTAAAGGACAGGTTTTCTGACTCTGACTAAGGTGATGGGTGCTGGTGAATGTGGTGGCATAAATAGCCCATGGACAGTGGCCAGGCTGTGTCTTGGAGCTTACTGCTCTCATGGCACCCAGAGTCGAGTAACTGAATCTAAGCATTGGTCAGGTCTGAGTCAGCAGTTCACACACAGCCCCTGCCTTGACTTGAAGATAGACCCAAGATAAAGGAAAAAGGGTGACTTTCCAGGAAGAAAGGCAGAAGCATACGAAGGAGAACGACCATCTCATATCTGCAGACCACAGTCATGCCCCCTACCTTTCTCCTAGACTATAGTATGACACCAACTGACTTACCACAAGCTCTTTACAACTTAGCTAGTCCTTTCCCATAAGTTATGTGTGACATCGGCAGAGACCTGGGATGCCAACTCATCCAAGTCCACCATGATAGAGTCAAGGCCTAAGAGGAGAAACAACTTCTCAGGCCACTCTGGGGATTAGAGGCAGACAAGGGCCAGTCCCCAGGTGTTTGCACTCCCGGTCTAATGTTCCTCCCACAACACCTTACAGAAAAGGAGGCAGGCAGGTTACCCGAGCCGATAGCTCCTGGTGGGCTGGGTTCTTTCTGGCATCTTCCCATTCCCAGTCTTGTCGTAAGTTCACACCCAGATCTGATGGCTGTGCAGGATCTGAGCCTTTTGTGCCCAGGACCTTGAAGCAGATGTGTTTGCCCAACGAGGCTCAGAGCCTAGATACCTATGTAGGTCACCTGCTGGGCTTACTCAACACTACACTTCCTGCTACTGTTTTTTCTCTCTCGTGTTGCTATTGCACAAATGCTTAGCAACAGACTTTATGAGCTTTTCCTCCCTCAGGCACTCAGAAATAAGCTGGTATCACTGAGTAAGGAGAGCTGGACAACCGTAAGTAGGGTGATAAGCCCTGCTGTCACGCAGAGGCTGAAGCATTGTCAGGAGTCCTGCAGGGATCCCCAACTTGGCTATGGCTGTCATTGCTCAGAGGGCTTGGCTGGGACACTTGAGCCCTCAGGTGGCAGGATCAAAACATGGCAATAAGGGAGTAAACCTCAGGATTGCACATCTGTCTAAGCAGTGTGCTTCAAAACAGTCACCTTGGGAGCCCCTTATTCCAATGAGGCTATAATGTTCAAACTGATAAAAATTACCACTACTTTGTATTATTTCCTTACTATGTGCCAAGCACTGTACTTGGCACTTTGTATACCTTGACCAGACCAGTTGTCTTCAAGTTGATTCTGACTGTCAGAGTAGAACTGTGCTCCACAGGGCTTTCAATGACTAATTTTTCAAAAGTAGATCACCAGGACTTTATATTCTGATGTGTTTCTGAGAGCAGCACCAACTCCAGACAGGCATTGCTAGTCTCATTTGACAGGTGAGGAAAGCAGGGATCAGAGATAATAAGAAACCTGCTTGAGGTCATCCAGTTATAAGTGATGAGACTAGAGTTCACCCCCTGGACTTCCAGTAAGATGGTAGAATAGGCAGACAAGATACACAAACCCTATAAAACAAAGAAACAAGAAACCAATTGAAACAGATACAGAAGATAATCCTGGAACTTTGAGCTTTGAAAGGAAGGATAAAGAACTGGATTAAGTACTAACTAGTAGAAGAACCTTAATGAAAACAGCGAATAAAGATACAAATGGAGCTGTGGACTATCAGCTGTCCTGACAACACTGACAATTTGAATAATTACAAGTGGTGTCCTGATCTGGACAGGAATCTAAGAATCAGCTCTGCTTGCTGAGGACTGGTTGGGCAATTTGCACTGGTAGCTGATGATTACAAAGGAAAACAGCAAAAAGGAGACAAACAAAGCCTGTGTACTGTTGGCTGGCCTGAAGGTGCAGCCATTTTGAATAATTGCAAGCTGTGTTCTGATCTGGGCAGCAATCTAAAAATAGGCCCCACTTGCAAAGGACAACACAAGCAACCTCACCGGAGGGTGACAACTAGAAAGGTGGGGGATAGCAACTGTGTCCACATAATCTAACCACACCCACACCTCTTGAAGCCTCACCTACTGGGCAAGGGCCACCACTTGCCTCTGCACCAATGGATCAACCACAGACAGTGGCCAATACCAGCCCAACTTGCCCTCAACTGCTCTTCATGAACAGCTAACACAGATCTGTACACACATTCACATTCTCTATCACATGCACCAGAAGGCAACTGGTAAATGCCTAAGTGTTGCCAAACTATCAAATACAATAGAAATATAAATAAAAAGACATCACAATGTCTTGGAGACAACTGACCATCCCAGTTCACACAAAGAATCAATACAAAGTAGCACAAACAAGGGACCAGGATACAGAATCAGAAAACCTCCCTGAGGAAGAAGCAGCATTGGAACTGCCTGATAAGGAATTTAAAATAATTATATTTATGTCTCTTCAATGGATTGAGAGAGAGATTAAGGAAAGCACTAACAAAATTAAGGAAAACACAGGCAAAACTCTAGAGCAATTTTGGAAAACAATACAAGAACAAACTGACAAAGTAAGTGAAAAATTAGAAACTATGAAAAACAACAAATAGAAATCCAGAAGATTAATACTAAGAAATAAATAACATTGAATGGGCAAAGGAGTAGAATTGAATCAATGGAAGAAAGAATTTATGAGATTGAAGACAAATCCAATACTACTTTGTTAAGGAATCGGTCAGAATAAAGATCAAAACAAAATGAAGAAAGCCTAAGATTCATGTGGGACACCATGAAGAGGAAACATGTGATCAGAATCCCAGAACAAGAAGAGACAAATAAAACCACAGAGAATACTGTCAAAGATTTGTGGGAAGAGAATTTCCCTAATATGATGAAAGATGAGAAGATATCCATTCAAGAAGTGCAATGAACCCCAAACAGCATATATCCCAAAAGAAAATCACCAAGGTATATCATAATCAAACTCACCAAAACCAAAGACAAAGGAAGAATCCTGAAAGTAACATGGGAAAAATGAAAAGTTACCTACAAAGGACAACCAATAAGACTAAGTTCTGATTTCTTTGCAGAAACCATGCAGCTAAGAAGGCAGTGGGAGGACATATATAAAATCCTGAAAGAAAAAAAAAAATGCCAACCAAGAATTATATAAATAGCAAAACTGTCCCTCAAATATGATGATGAAATTAGGAAATTTTCAGATAACCAGAAATTAAGGGAATTAGTTAAAAACAGACCAACCTTACAAGAGATGCTAAAGGAAGTCCTTTTGACAGAGAACCAACAATAGCAGACAACAACCAATGATTAACACACATGATGACATAACCCTGAATCCAATCCAGTTATAGAAGTAGCCAATGTAAAATAAACTAACAAGACTGTAAACAGAGAACCAGAGATATCAATTGGTAAATAAGGACAACTACAAACCAAAAAGATGGAATAAGTAGTGTAGGTATAGAACTTCAAAATGGTGAGGAAGTCAAGAGAATTGCCAGATAAAACAGATTGTTCTAAACTTGGGAAGAAAATAGTAAATCACAGGGTAACCTCAGAGAAAAATAAGCCTTCACATCAAAATAAAAAAAGAGGTCAGGCACAGATATTTAGCTCATACTAAAACAATAGCAACAAAGGCAATGATAACACTATTTATAAACAAAACGAGCTCAGCACAGAAAATTGTATGGAACAAGAAATCAGCAACACCATGAAAAAACACATAACAAAATGACATCAATAAATTCATACTTGTCAATAAATACACTGAATGTAAATGGACTAAATTCACCACTCAAGAGATGGAGAGTTGCAGACTGGATAAGAAAACATTACCCACCAATACACTGTCTAAGAGACTCACCTTAGATACAAAGACAAAAATAGAATAAAAATCAAAGGTTGGAAAAAGATATATCAAGCAAATGGAATAAAAAAAGAACAGGAGTGGCAATATTGATTTCTGATAAAATAGACTTTAAGACAAAAACCACCATATGACACAAGGAAGGACATTATATAATGATTAAAGGATAGATTGAATAAGAGGACATAACCATAATAAATATCTATGCACCCAATGAAAGAGCCCCAAAATACATAAATCATATTTTAACAAAATTGAAAAGACAAATAGATGACTCCACAGTTACAGCAGGAGACTTGAATACACCACTTTCAACCAAGGATAGAACGACTGGAAAGCAACTCAACAAAGATACAGAAGAACTAAACAATACAATCCATCAAGTTGACCTTATAGAAATCTACAGAGCACTTCACCCAACAACAACACAATATGCATTCTTTTCCAGCACACATGGAACATTCTCCAGGATATGTTAGGCTGCAAAACAACCCTGAAAAAATTTAAAACATTGAAATACTGCAAAACATCTTTTCAGATCACAGTGCTGCATAATTAGAAATTAACAATAGGAAGATCAATGGAAAAGGAACAAACACATGGAAACTGAATAACACCCTCCTTAAAAACTACTGGTAATGGAAGAAATAGAAATGAAATTTAAAAACCCTTGAATCAGAATTTCTGCCTGTATAGTAGAGCTGACAAGGGCCAAGGCTATGGTGGCTTCTGGGCCAAAGCCAGTTACCCACCCTGAGGGAACAAGTAGTTGGACTTGTGGGCTCAGAACCATGGTTGCAGGGGACGTCAAACTCAGGTGGCATAATATACTACACAAAAACATTGTTCTGCATCCTACTTTAGTGAGTAGAAACTGGGGTCTTAAAAGCTTGCAAGCAACCATTCAGATGCAAAGAAGAATGAAGAAAACCAAAGACGTATGGAAACAATTAGTCCAAGGGACTGGTATACCATGTGATCCTCAGCCTATATGACCATGAGACCAGAAGAACTACATGGTGCCCAACTACCACTGTCAACCACTCAGAGGGGCATCAGTGTAGGAGATCCTGGATGGAGTGGGAGAACAATGCAGAACAAAACTCAAAATAATAATAAAAAGACCAGTTTTGCTGGTCAGATAGAGCCTGGTGAGACTCCTGAGACTATGGCCTCTAGCTACCTTCAGGTCTGGAACTGAACTCACTCTTGTGGCTTCTAGCCAAACAATGGATAGGCATATATGGTGAACATTTATATCAGGTAGATACAGTCCTTGGAGCGATCAAATCAATCGTGGGAGAACAGAAGGGCAGTTTTTGCACAGGGAGATAATTCAAGGGGCAGGAGTGCATGGGAGGGAAGGACACAGGGAAGAGGGTAACTATGGGGAAGAAGCAGGAAGAGAGCTGTAACATTGTGAGGAATTGCAGTCAATATCATGAAACAAAATATGTTTGAACTGCTGTATGGAAAATGAATTTGCCCTGTAAACTTTCACCCAAATCACAATAAATTTTTTTTTTTAAATTAAAGTCCATACACACACACACACACACACATATACATATATATATATGTATATATGTGTGTGTGTGTGTGTGTTGTTGTTGTTATGTGCCATCGAGTCAGCCCTGACTCATAGCGACCCCTCCTTGGGTTTCTGAGGTGGTATCACTATGGAAGTAGATTGCCCAACCTTCCTTCCGAGGAGT